CCTGACTAGTTTCAGAAGAGAGGCACCTTAAGCTGAAGTGAAATTGAATCCCTAGGAGCAAAGCGAGTATTCTCCTAGGGGTTTGCCTATTTATATGCTACATCCTTCAGACAGCTGCTCTGCCATGCTTAACATGACTAAATATATAACCTCACATTAGAATCACATTGTAAAGCAGGCAACCTCCAGTTCCTGTCTCCCATAATTAAATTAAACAATTCTTTTTGTTACTCTGTAGAATAAACTGAATTTGAAAATAGGATAGTAAGTAATGATGCTTCCCATAATATTAAGTGAATTTATTCATAGTGCAAGAAACAAACTCAATCAAATAATTTGGGTGTTTACGCAAGTTTATTTGGGCCTTATGGGCCAAACTGAGAACCTTGAAATATCTTGGAAATGAACAGCAACCCGGTGGACTTAATTCAAGATGAATATGTCCTCTGTTGAATATTTCAAACAAGCATATACCATTATATTTTGTATCAGTTGAAATCTCTAAATATTTTTGGAAGATGCTACTGCTGTAGCAACAAGTACTAATTAAGCTTTGAATCACTTCCAACTTTCCCAGGAAAGAACAGAGATGGTCCGCCAGCCAAAATTGGGCTAGCATGTTCTTTGCCTAGGAATCAAGGGGCAACATCGTATAAGTGAATTATCTCTTTTTGAGCAAACATTTGATTGTATCCTGTGTAGAATTACACTTGTGATATGGGTGGTTATATACATCTGATAAATAAGGGCAACTTAACCCAGAACATGTACTTTTAATACTAGGTTCTGGGAACCATTTAAAACAGTCACAATGTCAAGTAAGGAAGACATAATAGAATTAATTATTGTCAGTGCATCGCCAGGATGTTTGTTATGGCAGCCAAAGCACAGAATGTTATTAATATCAAAATATGTTCTTTTAGCAAATAGTAAGTATATCAGCCACTCAGTAAGATGGGAAAATGATAACGTAATGAAGAAAAGACAGAGCAATTCTGCTCCTATTTTGGCTGAACCTTTTTCCTCAGGAAGATACGAGTTCCATCAAATAAGTGTCATGAGCAAACTTAAGGGCCTGTATTGAACCTTGAGACTGACAGAAGCACAGTACTTATTTTTGGAGCATGGGACAGATCAATTACATCCTAGGGAACTAAAGGAACTTGCTGATTGCTGTTCTGAATATTCTTATATTATTTATTTAATCAATGTGGACCGTGCCTGACTCTGAGTTGATTGTGAACAGCTTGCAATATAGACATAGAAGAATAATGGAATAAAGAGAACTGGAAGGTCTTCTAGCCCAACCCCCATGATGAAGCAGGAGAACCCTATACCATTTCAGACAAGTGGCTGCCCAGTTTCTTCTTAGAAATCTCCAGTGAGGGAGCTCCCACAACTTCTGAAGGCACGCCATTCTACCAGTGAACTGGTCTCTCAGCAAATTTGTCCTTATTTCTAGCTGGGCTCTCTCCTTGATTAGTTTCCATCCACCATTTCTTGTTCTGCTGTCTGGTACTTTGGAAAATAACTAAAAATAAACTAAGAATAATTTTTAAAAATGGACCCAGAAGAGTGAAACAAGCAAATGTACCCTACACCAACCCAAATTAGCAAAGGCATTAAGAAATTCTGGAGAAATTAGTGAAATGGTAATGGCAGGAGGAATGCAAGCTTTAGCCCTATCTTCAAAAAGAGAAAAATGGAGGATCCAGGGAATTACTGATGAATCGGTCTTGACATCAATAGTTGGAAAGATTCTAGAACAGGGCATGAAGCAATCTTGAAAATACTGCAGTAAGTACCAGAACTCAACATGGAATTGTTAAGATTAGACGTTGCCAGCTCAATGATCTTGTTTTATTTCACTTTTGGTCAAGTACTGTAACTTCCTTAAAAGGTAATTGCAATGTTGTAATGTCTGAAGCTGTGAAATGAGAACTACAGCTTCCCAGACCAGACAGAACCATTGTCTAAACAATATGAAACTCTAATCTGAAGGCTGGAGAAAAATAAAATAAAACGACCAATAATCAATTGATTCAAAAAGGGGAAAGAAAGATCCTTAAGTTTAGAATCAGTTCAAGTTTATCCATTGCATGATGAAGGTCTTTTCATTGAAGAGTATGGACTGCAATGATCACTGTGGTAGAGAGCAATTATTTTTTTCAGTTCCCAGTCTAGTCTGAGAAAAAGAATCTTACTCAACTAGTTTCTGTGTCTAAAGGGGAAGTAGAACCTGGTTTTGCTTGCTTCTTGTCTGGCATCTTAGTCACTACAACCATACATATATGCAAACAAGTGTGCGTACACACACACACAAACTCACATGCATATATACATGGAACGCAAACACACAAATCTATACATACATACATACATGTAGCAAGCAGATGTGATCTTGTTACTTGTCTATAATGAATCAACTCATCCAGGACTTTTTGCTACTATATAGTTCTTAAATGAGGAGATGATTTTTCCTGGAAGAGTAGAGATTTACCGCCAGACCTGGCCTGACAGTTGAAGAAGTTTTATGCCTTGAGTTCACTAAAGTATTTGATAAAATACTCATGACATCCTTAATAGTGTGGTTAACAAAATAAGGTCCAGATGACTTATCAATTAAATGAATACACATAACTGGCTTGAAAACTGGCTTGGAAATCTTATTCGGAGCTAGAAACAATTTGTCAACAAATTGGTATATCAGGAAATTCAGTCCTGGCTCCTCTACACTTCTACACTACACTACAGTTTTATTAATGGTGTGGATGAGAGATGGAAGAAATGCTTATCACATCTTTACATGTGGATAGTAGATAGTCCAAGTTAATGTCCAAGAAGATAGAAAAAGCAGTCTTGATAGGTCTCAGGAATTGACTGAATAACAGAATGAAATTTAATGGAAGAAAATGTAAAGTTAAATACCTAGGCAACAAAAGTCAATGGCATAGATATAATTTGGGATGGCAATAGAAAATTTGAGAAAGATTGTGCACCAGTTCTTGATTACAAGATAAAGATGAGTCAGCAATGTGAAATGGCTACAAAAATGCAAATGCAGGGGATCAAGTACGCCCCTTTTTGAAGAAGTCCTTCCTGGATCCAAGTATTTTAAGCAGCTGCAATTCTACTCTCCAATCTTCCTTTTCTAGGAAGAAACTATTGTTGAGACAAGAGGCTGAGCAGTGTTGCAGAGACCCTTATTTCAAATTGGTGATCCAGTAGAATCAAAGATTGATCTCTCATATGTTGCCTCCCAACATTCCTGCCATTACTGCAGATATAAAAAAATCTACCCAACATTTAAATGTGATTTAAACAGTTTGACTATTCACAGCATCCTACATCATGACACAAGGTATAAAGTATCTGACATTAAAAATACTCTATATGTAAATATAAAGTTGCATATGAAAAATATACTGTGGCCCTTGTAATTTTAGAAAGCAAGTGCTGGATGTGAATTTAAAAAAATACCTTATGGTACCCATGTACAGAAATTGTAAATTATAATTACAAGACTTTAAAATAAAGAACACAAAATATCTGATTCCAATGTGTAACACTGATATGGAGTAAATTCTGCCTGACACATCCTCCTTAATAACTACTTTCCTAACAGGTGGTGGCATTGATATCTGCAGGACCCGCTATAAAAATCTTCTTCGTGTTAAAATATCCGTTCCAACAAAAACAATCATAACTGCAGGAATTGCAGGTAAAAACATTGTAAAGCTTAAATATTATTGCCTAATTTACCCCAGTGAAAAGGACAAGTTAAAGGCTCACTTAGTACCAGGAAGCCATCCTTTGCTTATCTACCATGTAATTTTAAGTCCATTGCCAATAGATGTCAGTGTTATCACATCTAACATATAGATTTCACCAATGAGTTTAATTGTACTGCTTGACAACAGGACCACAATATTTTCTTCACTGATTCTCAAAATTACATTTTTTATGAAAACATTTTCTGCCACTCAACAAGAGTGGATTGTAATAATGTTTAGAAAGGTCATCATTCATAGTATTCTGCTTATATTTATGTGTATTTATGTGTTATATTTATGTGTAGCATCTGCAGCACCAAGGCCAGCGCACCCAGGAAGTTCTGTATTTCCATTCTCTCCCAATAGAGAGATGTGGTGTGTGTGTGTGAGAGAGAGTGAGAGAGAGTGAGAGTGAGAGAGAGTGAGAGAGTGAGAGTGAGAGTGAGAGTGAGAGAGAGAGAGAGAGAGAGAGAGAGAGACGTACACCTCAGTAATTCATTTAAAAATCTTGAAATCAATTCTTCTTCTGGGATCAATTCTATTGTACCTAATATTAAATAATATTTTCAGTAATATTTTAAACCTTGACTCTCTTTTTGGTCACAAGGTTGAAATACACTGTTAGATTAATGAAGAAGATGCACCACAGTACACATTCATCTAATATTGAGAAGAATGTACCCATCATCCAAATAAACACAGTTTTGTGTGTATCCAGACAAATGAAGTTCAGTATTATTTAGAATGTCCATGTACTAATTGAATATTCCGCCACTAACATTATTTTCACACTGACAAGGCAGGTTAGGCAGCTAATACATACCTATCTTCAATGATACTCAATTCTGATATCCTAATATTGTTATAGCAACTGATGGAAATACAAATTAAAGACACAGCTATTGAGACACTGCTGAGGACTTCTGTCATGGTCCTTTTATTTTCCAGAGAAATTCTGTTCAGATCTGTACAGTTTGGGTATGCTTCCAATATACACTGGATTATGTGCACATTCTTTTCTAAACACTAATGACAGAGGTCTTCTTGTCATATTCAAAATTATTCCTTCTAAATTGATTCTCCATACCTTTTCAACTCTCCTAATAACCACTGATACAAAACAAATCATATTGATATTACCATTCTTCTGCCTTTGCCATAACAAAATAATTGTGGTTTCTCAAAAAGTTGGTTGGTAATGTAGAGAAGCCACTGGTTGCTACTTACCTTCTGAAAGAAAAACTGTGTTGTTATAACGAAGACATCAAAGCCACATCTGGTTCTCTTGAGTTCTTCTTGGACACAATTGAATTTTCTGACTAGTTCATCACACCTGTCCTTCATCTGCTGGATGAACTGTCGTTCTGGCTCTCGTGTCTGCAACTCTGGCTTTGTAGAAAATCCATTTCTTGGAACAGAAGACTTTTGTTTAGGATGTCCTGCAAGAAGCAATCAATCTCCATGTAACATCCACATAATGTTTTGTTTTATATGTAAGAATGTAGCTATTCATAGTCAGGAGGTGGTTGAACTGACAATAAACTTATCTTTTACGGCAGCCACATATTAAGAGGAGACTGGTAGCATCTTTCTACATCATGAATTTTATTAAAAGACATAATTTAAACATCTGCAAACCTGCCATGCCTTTAATATGCAATCATTAAGCTATTCTATCTAATATATTTCTTTCTTAAACAAGAAAAATGTCACGATGAAAAAGAGTTTTAGGTTGACATGCTTTGCATTTTCTTTCTTTTTTTTTTTTAAAGAAATAATTATTACTCGTGCATTGGTGGCAGTCTCTGAGGCTGCTGTCACAAAACTTGCCAAGAAAGAGAAAGAGGTGCTGTAGTAGCAACAGCCTTGGACAGTACAAGTAATCTTCTACTTACAACAGTTCATTTAGTGACCGTTCAAAGTGCACTGAAAAAACTGACTTATGACCGTTTTTCATACTTACAACCATTGCAGAATTTCCATCGTCACACTGTCAAAATTCAGATGCTTGGCAACTGACTCACATTTATGAACTGTCGCAGAGTCCAGGGGTCATGTGATCACCTTTTGTGACCTTCTGGCAAGCAAAGTCAATGGGGAAGCCAGCTTCACTTAACAACCATGTTACTAACTTAACAACTGCAGTGGTTCACTTAATAACTGTGGCAAGAAAGGTCGTAAAATGGGCAAAACTCATTTAGCAAATGTCTCAGCAACAGAAATTTTGGGATCAACCGTGGTCATAAGTCAAGGACCACCTGTAGCAGCCAATAAGGCAAAGACTTGGATAGGTCATCATCGTCTTGCAAATATCTAGGATTCAAGTGTAGTTTTCAATCTTTTCCATAACTCTTGTACCAACTTTCTACAAGAACACTCATGCAAAACTCTACACTAGAACTCTCAAAGGTGCTTTTTTTTCTTTGTGGTTTTTTTTCCTGGACTTTCTTTGCCTTTTTTTTCTTTTGAAGACATTTCACTTCTCATCCAAGAAGCTTCTTCAGTTCTAACTGGATGGTAGGAAGGGGGAAATAGAAGGATGTGGTGGGAATGAAGGAATGATGGGGGAGCAGAATGGAAGAAATCATTCCATTCCCCCACCACCCCACCATTCAGCCAGAACTTCTTGGATGAGAAGCAAACTGTCTTCAAGCAAAAACAAAGAAAGTCCAGTTGCCTTTTGAGGGGAGGGAAAACACACCTTTGGCACAACCTGGATGACTGAGAATCTTCATAGACAGCTACATTAAAAGCTTCTTTACAAACCTTGGGCCATGCTCTCTTCTCACACAGAGGTTTGCATTGCAAAAGAAAAAAAAATCTTTTTCTCCTCCTCCTCCTTGAGTGCCAGGAGACCGAGATATCTGAGAGCAACTTAGGCAAAGATGGACATACAAATGCATGATTGAAATGTATTTGATCAAAGTGCACATGCAGCTGTTTAAGTTAAAATCTTAACGCAGCACCTATGTTTAGTTTTGTTTATACTGATTCATTTCACACATCTTGTTAGTCAGGGAACTTTCTAGGTTCCTTCACCACATGTGCCCTGTTTTTCAGCTGGTGGTTCACTGTGAATTTAGCATTCCTAAAAATAAAATTTAACCAGAATTCAATGTTGTTGCAGGGTGGATTTCTCTGTTCCTTCTCATTTCCCTTCCCCCCACCTGCTGTCAGTCCTATTCCATTTAGCACTGAACATGCTCAGTCCTAATTTATCTGCTTCACAGTTTCAGTTTGGGCTTTTTTCTTTAAATATCTTTCTATCTTTACTTTGCTAAATCGTGATGTTTTCCCCAATCTGTTGTTGCTTTCTTCTTGTGTGTAGATGGTGCTAGTATGATTACTTAAACCAGGGAACTCATTTCTGAACACCAGAAATAAAGAGATTAGGAGTAAACACAGAAAGGAATCAATAGATTTGGAGACAGGCATTTTAGAAAATGTGTTTATCTGTCATATCAAGAATATAAATATTGGTGCTGGAGCTGATGCAGGGGTTTAGAATTGGCCTTTCTTCCAGAAAATCAAAGGCTGCTTCAAAGACTTTCCATATGCTGGAAAATCACGCCACCCAGCTTATCTCTCTACAATTAGCTATTTGCATGAAACCATGCAGAGTGGATTCAGATAAATGCCATATAACTCCTTATTCTGCAGCATCTTCCTGAAAGGCTTTGTGCGAAACCGTATTACAATAATCATTTTACTGCCCAGTTAATCATCAGCACAGTTTGATTAGTGATATCTAGTTCATAAAAGGGGAGTGAAGTTGATTTGTATTTGTGTCTAAAAATTACCCGTTACCAATATTTCTTTGCAAAAGTTTAAGCCCCGTGATGGTAATTGCAAACTTTTAGATTTTTTTTAGTACAGGTGTAGGAAGTTAGCACCCATCCCTCTCCTAGAAAATTGAAATGTCCTAGGAAATATTAAAAAGGCAGAATATCTCCCCTAAAAAGAGTAGAAACTCAGAAGCAGAAACTCACCTCAGAGAGGCAGAAACTCAGCCCCCCCACCTTTGCTAATGGGCCATTAAGGCCTAGGCCAGAGTATTCCACATAATAAAAGCCTCTACCCATCTCACCACCTGGTCTGGGGAGATTGTATCAGCCAACACTCAGGCGAAGCCATGTGGTCCAGACAAAGCCTACAAAGTTAGTTAAGACCCCCGCCCCTGGGAGTCTGACAGCCAATGGGATACATTTCTTACACAGGAACAGGAAACACTAAGATGGGGCCCAACAGAGGTTATAAAACTAAGGGTCTCTCAGCATCTCAGCCCTTTTTCCTTCTTTCTTCATCCAGGGCATGTGATCCACCATTAAACCATCTTTCCAAACAGCCTCCATGTTTCCAGTGTCTTACTTCCCCACTTGGAACTGAACCCAGATGGACATTTCTTCCAACACAGATACAACAGTTTCGACTCAGTTTGTTTAGTGACTGTTCAAAGCAGGGATGGGATTAAATTTTTTTAACAACTGGTTCTGTGGGCGTGGCTAAGTTGGTGGGCGTGGCTTGGTGGTCATGTTATTGGCTGGGCGTAGCCAACTCAATATCACTCACATCGAGGCACGCATCTCCTCGCCTGGCCTCTCATGACTGTGGGGAAGCTGCAACAGTCATAAGTGTGAAAAATGATCACAAATCACTTTTTTCAGTGCCATTGTAACTTTGATTGGTCACTCCACACAAGCAAAGTACCAGCAAAGGAGGGGAAAAAACTCCAGAGATGTTCCTGAGACAGGAAGTCTAGTCCTGCCAAGAATGTAATAAGGGTTAACGCAGGGGTCCCCAACCACCGGTCCACGGACCGGTCCCGGTCCGTGGAACAAGTCCTACCGGGCCACTGGTTTGCTGGGCGCCGCCATCTTTTTTTGATGAAAACCTCACCGGAAGCACTTTTTCATCAAAAAAAGATGGCGGCGCCCAGCTAATGCCGGTACCGGGCCGCGCCATAAAAAAGGTTGGGGATACCGGGCCACGGCATAAGAAAGGTTGGGGATCACTGGGTTAACGGAGAGACAGTTTCTGTAAGCAACACCAGAATGTTTCCTTCCTCCCTTCCTTGCAGGATTAGGCCAGTAATTTCTTCTAACAACCGGTTCTCCGAACTGCTTAGAATGTTAACAACCGGTTCTAGCGAATAGGTGAGAGCCTGTAGAATCCCTGGTTCAAAGTTACAATGGCACTGAAAAAAGTGACTTATGACCATTTTTACAGTTATGACCATTGCAGCATTTCCATGATAGTGTGATCAAAATTCAGGTGCTTGGCAACTGTCTCATACTTACGACCGTTGCTGTGTCCGGGGTTACGTATGTGATCACCTTTTGTGACCTTCTGACAAGCAAAGTCAATGGGGAAGCTGGATTCACTTAACAACCAGGTTACTAACTTAGCGACTGCAGTGATTCACTTAACAATTGTAGCAAAAAAGGCCATAAAATGGGCTCTCTTATCACTTAACAACAGAAATTTTGGGCTCAATTGTGGTCGTAAGTCGAGGACTACCTGTAAAAAGAAATGAAATTGCCTCCGGCATATTAGAAGGCAAAGCAGCATTATTTCTTCTTTAAAAAGGCTTCTCGGCTATGTATGGGTAGCCTTAGAAAATAAAATGCTCGAATGTCCATCTATCCAGCCTGAAAAAAGACAAGGGAAACTGCAATGGTAGAGATCATCTGGGAGAGGAATGAAGTAGAGCAAAGAACCCATCTTAATATCTTGTTTTCAGTTAAATGAGTGTTGGCCGTGATGAATGAGTAAACCTTATTCATTGCAGCCATTTTGTGGGAATGTCCACAGCAGGTTTTCAAAATTTCCCAGGTGCTCACTGGCTCAAAAAATGTTACCTAGCTGTGTTTTAAATTACATAGGGACCTTCCGTAATTACAAAAGCTCCTTAGGAAAGAAATTAATTTTCAATGTGTGAGGGACATGAGCCACAAGCCACTGGGAATGGGGCGGAGGTGGCAATGAGACTAACAAACACATCCCATATTTTTCCTCTGCATGCAGAGAGGAGTGAACAACTGTCTGAAAAAAACCTGACTAGCATGGCAGAAGAGAAATTGCCTAGGCATGCAGTTTCACTTACCTGTAAAGAAAAGGGGGAGGGGCAGGAAAGAGAGAGATGTGGAGGAAAAATGTATCTGTTCCTGAAAGAATCTGTACTTTCATTTTTTCAAATATTACAGTGGTGCAGAAGACCACTGAGGTTGCAAATAAATGAGTTTTTATGTTGCACACTGCTGTCAGTAATAAAATTATATCACAGAGTTTCACATTTCAAGGAATTAACTGGCTTTGTTTCTACTAACATAGCAGGCTACTTTAATTTTATTTTTTTTAAAGTTATATATAAAAGTCACAGTATGCAGCCTGAGTCCTAACAGGCCTAAAATATCATTATTGCGGAACTGAATGCTGGTGG